ATGCCAGTCTTTTACTTTCTCCCGAAGTATGTTAACTCCGCGTGATTAGTATTCAAACACTTCCTGGACACAATAATAATAATAATAAATAATAAAAATGAAAAAAAAAAACCGTGACAATGGGTTATTAATAAACCCAATTGACGACGATGAGATTACTATTAAGTATTATTTTTACGTACTACCCGATAGATTGTACGTGTACATGCGGCGGCGACGCGTACGGGCCGCGCGCGGATAGAAAACGTAAGGCCTATCGTCCGCGTGTAAAGATGACATGCCCGGAATACATATCGATAATTTATTGTTGTCGGTCATCAGCGGTTCGCGTACACGATTTCCGTACGTATAAAATACGTAATAACACACGATCAATGATATTATATTTTATAAATGCTTACTGTGCGGCAAGCACATACGGATGATATCACGATACAAGTGTGTATCTAAACCACCTATCTCCGGCCGTCTTCTCGTTTTGACGTACGCGTATATATGTAAATCGGGGGTCACTAAATAGCGGCCCACGCGGATGCGTTTCGACCAGTCCACATACGAGGAGGAAAAAACCTATAATTTTTTTCGTTAGAAAATTTATATTAATTTATTATCATTTTTTTTTTAACGTTTCGTGTGTTTACTAAATTTATTCGTATTTCATTAGTTTCAGTCTTATACATGGTCTTATTTTCTATATCCAGAAATATCAACAATAAAGTTTTTTGACCCGACGACATTATTACGATAATAAATCTATAATATATAAATATATAATGTTTGCGCAATACGTAGGTACTTACTGTTAATTTCCATAGTCCGCGAGCATTTTCTGAATTGTTCGCGTGACCATAGGAAAATATTAATTGGTGACCCTAGATGTATATTTTATCAGCACACAAGCGTATAATATTCATTGCGTCATCGTCGTCGGCGCAGATAAAAAAATCGGTTCTAGAATAACGGAATTCCTCCGCGGACGCGTTAGAGGGGTACCAGTATAATATTTATGTACAAATGTATATACCGCTTTATACACACGCGCGCGCGCGCGCACACACACACACATATATATTCATATAAATATCTTAACAATGACGAGCGCATACTTATCTCATCAGTGTTATAGGTCCTTTGGGGCACGCGTGTGTTACCCCACACCGCCGACATTTCCGGCAAATTTTATTTTCACTTGTAGATTAGAATAATATGAGGTACTCACCTTGTATTCGGTTACACATCAATAATAAAAATATACTTTACGAATACTCTAAAAGTCAGTTACAAGTATGATGTGCATAGTGTTATACATATGTTATACGTATGTGTTGTACGCGTGACTCGTAGATTTTAAGATTTATAACTTTTTATAAAACTCTCCACTGGTCATAAGCTCAATAATCTCAAATATTTAGTGATGTGATGTTTTTTAATTCGTATTAAATTATACCGTCTTAGTGTTGCATTATGACATACGTATTCCTACAGGAAACGAACAAAGATCTCTACGATTCGTGTGTGTATTTATGCGTTTAATGCATATATAGGTTCCCATTTTTTTAACCTTATTTCAACTTTTATACCGCTTGTCGTTATGATAATAATTACTCGAAAATATAATAATGATACGCGTTCCTTGGCCGGATACGATGAGTGCATATTATCAGTATACCTACTATATATACATAATAGTTACACGTATTGTATGGTTCTATAAAGACGTCGTTGTGGCGACGACGCGGCGGGGTCATCTAGCTGCGATTTTTTTATTGTTACATATCATATTATACGCTACACATACTTGAGGCGTATTTTAGATAAAAAAAAATCGAAGACTTTCATTTGAAAAAAAAAGAAAAAGAAAACAATTTTTATGGTATTTTAATGCTGTTAATTACGAGCCCGCGCGTTTTGATGCCACATAATTGATGAGTAGGTAATCAGTAACATTAGTTATAGTAATAGTAGTAGTAATAGTAGTAGTAGTAGTAGTAGTAGTATTAGATCACATAACATATAATGGTAAAAATTGGCTTAAATTTAAGCTCGTATCGGTTATTTTTTTTAAAACTAATTATTACTATTCACGTACGTATTATATGTTTACATATACTGTATGCATATTACCTACATATACTGCCTCGGCTTGTACGGGTTTACTTTCGTTTTTATTCAGCTGTTTATTAAAATATAATCACATAAAAACGTGGTGGAAACAAGTTCGTTACTTATAGATGTATATATTCGTAATAATCGTACGCAAAACTTCGAAATTGATTTTCGAAATTTTTTAATTGCACGTTTATATATATATATATATATATATATATATTTATAAATTACATAGTATATTAGTAATTGGTATTACAATATGTGGTTTCTCGCGAACCATTCGAGTTGTACTTGAAATCGAAGAGAAATCACGACTGCGCTCAAAAATGTTGTATCCCATCTGGTGCAGCTAGTACTGCGAAGAAGACGATAAAGATGGTCTTACGATAAAACACACTCGTTATTATTATTATTATATGGTGTGCATGCAGGTATTAAAGTTACAATATAACAGCTTGCTCGTGTTCTCGGTCGTCGGAACAATAATTTGTGATCGTCGATCGGTGTAAAATGTATATTAGAACGTTAGCACGTTCGGTATCATTTTTCACGTGATCCAGACGTTATTGAAGTAGTATCCGAAAACGTTTTATACCGTACGTGTTAAAATAACGAGAGTTGGGATTGGGATTTTTTTTTGAAAAAAAAACCCCTTGCGCAATTATATGCGCTCAGCGGCGGTATCTTGGATGTGCAACAAGCAAAATACGTTACCGCAGAGTAAGTAACTAGACGTAATTAACATGTATACACGACTTAACCATGTGCATAACCGTGGGTGTTGTGTTTCGCGGGAGAGCAAATAATCGTCGGCACGTTCGAAATTCCAAGCGGTCGTTCATCCAACAGGAAATATTAGCATCGTTTAACGCGGTTTTGGGGCCCGTGATTAGCGACGATCGTTGCCGTACATGAGCACATAAATCACCGAACCAGTATTAGCGCAGCCGTATCGCGACTCAAAGATTCCGCAACAAGTTGAAAAAACCTGCAATAAATTAATAACAATGTACAGCTGTAATGTTTGTGCAAGTGCGTGAGTCGTTATAATTATAGTAGTCGGCGGGTACGGTGGAATAGGTATACATACCTCTGTGTAATAGTGTATTGCAGTGGACGCCGAGTGTATGTACAGGAATTCCGCCGCCGCCGCTATACACCTATATAACGTTATTACTCGTGTGTACGAGCGCGGAGAAATATTTCGAAGATTTTTCGACGACCAGTTTTATAGTATACAAGTACCCCCACACAATACGTGTTGTACACACGTAACAGGTAAACGACGACGGTTATTTTCTCTCCGTCTCTCCGTCTCTCCTCGAAGAGATTCATAATTCTTTGGATTTCTTCTGTTTCCAACTTATTCGTAAACGGACACATATACCCGGGTGTATATATTTACCCGCGGTGTGTATAGGCACGTAGGCAGGTATACAGGATACGTTCATTATAGAAATACGTTAGCAGGCGTTCGACGTAAAATATGCGTCGGGTTCGGTCTTGTTTTTCTGGTAGATTCGTTTCCGACCTTGAACCAATGAAAACTATGTAATTTATTCCACTATCGAGTGAACTATATAATTAATAAACTAGAATTCATCATGATGAAATATTCGACTCCGACATTTTATTCGGGGTGTTTCGTATATATTAGAGGCGACCAAACATTTTTTCGGCCACGATCTACTAAAAACATACTTCACCTTTGAAGATCGACTTTCTTGGAACATTTTTTTTTATTATTAAATAATTATAATTATTAAGAAACATACTTGCTTAAAGTGTATATAAACATACATCAAGTGTTATAAACTAATTACTAATTACTAAAAATAATATGATATACAGATAAAACTTATCGACAATTTGTTCATAACCACCACGATTAATTTTCGTGCACGTGGCCTAAAAATAAATTCTAACATGATCGACTCTAAAATCGTACGCGATCGACCGTTTGGCCGTTCCTGGTATCATTGGCGTGCGTACGTGGAGGGGCCGGGTAGGCCTCGGCCCCTGCGGACTTTGGCTTTTTCTTTAATAAATGTATATATATACTATACAAGATAGCGAAAATTTTACATTTTACATGAATAAAGCCAGTTTTAATCTCATAGTACAGAATTGATATCTATGAATAAATTTAATAAAGTTATTAGTTATTAATCACACTAATTAGAACTTGCATATAATATAAAAATTGAAGATGTAATTGATACATTCAAAAACCTTACTCCCGTGGACAGAAGGATGGAGTTTTAAATAGTATAATAATGTGTAAATAAGGATTTCTTAGATAAAAATTGTGTAAGTTTAAATAGTATTTATTTTTATATTTGCATATTGAATTAAATAAATAATTTATAAAATTTAAAATATTTAATAATACTAGTAGTCTTTAGTACAAGAATCTTTGGTTCACTTTTTTTAAGGACCCCCCCCCTGCGCACAAAGTCTGCGCACGCCTATGCCAGGTATATACCATATAAATGTAAAACGTTTTTTACGTGGCTGTATGGTGTACGCTAAGACGTAGTAGTAATAGTTTTATTCAAGAATAAACTTTAATGTACGTCAACGAAAAATCTCGGTAGAAACAATGCGCACAACAAACGTGTCACGCATACGCGAATACGCACTTTTGTCCATTATCGTTCGCTCGATGCGAGATAGTTTTGAAATTTTTAACATTTTCGGAACGTTGAGAAACGCACAAAGAAAAATGTAGACCAATAGAACATGGTTTATGGACGTAGAAATATCTCTGAAGAAAGCTTTGATTTTTGTTTGATTTTTTTTTCAGCCACCAAAAACATAAATATTTCTTACTTTACGCCAAAGCTAGCGTGTCGATTACGTTCGCGTAGTAATGTATGCATGTTAATCAGTTGCAGATATTATGTGGGCGCGCGAAATGTAGGCGTCGGGCGAGCTAGCATGCGGAGCGCCAGCACAGTGAGCGGCCCTCTACTGTCTGTTTCAACGCCTGCCAGCCAACAAAACCGGTTCGCTGCCGTCCACCTGCTCACCGGCCAATTATTGTATTTCATTGTCGAGGTGAGTGTAAAACGACAACTGCGGTGGTGGTGGTGATGAAGGAGAAGGAGGAGGAGAAGGAGAAGCTGTTGAAGAAGAATATGAAATAAGATGAAAAATGAGAGATGTATGTGAACGAGAAAGAAAGATGAAAGAGAAAATATTTTATACTTCTCGTACATTGTTTACCGGGCAAATATTATGTCCGCAAATTCGGACTTTGATTGTAGCTGTGGTGGTTATTTCACACGAGTTATGAGGCCGCCATACTGCATACCGTAATACCGTCATAAAAATATCGACACACACACATACGTGTACACAATGCGTTGTTGGGTAGAACTGGACCACTGGAAACCGGTGTGGTATTCGCGGTATATCTGTGACAGAAAATACACACACTTTATTATATACAAATATGTGCGTGTGTGTGTGTGTGTGTGTGTGTGTAAGAAAAAGGTCAACCTAAATAATATAAATAAGCGTGTGTATATAATAATATCGTCGTATGTTGATCGCATTAGTTATTATTCATTTTGGGTGATTTGTTTAAAAGACGATTCAAGAAATGCTTTTCGATCGTAACGAGTAGACGCGAGAGAAATAGACCGAGAGAGATGCATGTGAGGAGAGATGAAATCGTATTATGGTCCTTACGACTTCACCTAAATGTTACGCGGGGCGTTACGATTTGAGAAATGTATTTATGATTATACGTGCGATTTTGTTTTTTTCAGGGTAAATCTCGGGTGAAAGAAGTTTACTCACAGCTGTCGGCTTATATGATTGCTCAAGGAATGCAGGACGTCGAACTGTTGGCACTAGCATTCATTTTAGGTAAGTTTCTACGCTAGTGGCTGCGAACACGTAATATTATACACCTACGGATACGTTCGTTTAGCGATACTGCGAGTTCTGCACATCGTTCGGTATGTGTCGTGCGAGTATAGAATGTAATAATGACGACGCATCTCTGCTCTTCTTGCGTACGTTGACGACGACGAGCCTAACGATATGTACCACGGCCGTGGAATGACCACATTATATCCGTATTTGTATTGAAATACACTTACATATATCAGGCGAGTCCATTTTCAACCAAAACCGTATCCTTCCCTTTTCGGCCGATCCACTTTTCGACCAAAAGCGTACCCTTCCATTTTCGGCCGATTCAACTTTCGATCAAATTTAAAATAGGCCGATTCCCTTTTCGACCAAAACAAAAATGTTTATAACAAATTTAAAATAATAGAATAATGATAAACAATGTTTGATTATGATGGAAACTACTATAATATATTAATGACGATTCAAGGTTTTACTCGCGTAGCGAGGTTTTAGGTTTACATACAGAGCATAATCCCATTTGCAACAGTATCAAGGTTTGTATAAAAACTAGGTTAGGCTTAAACTATAATTCTCCTTGAGGCAAAGCCCCATCCTCCCAAAAAGTGTCACGCAGTGGCACTCGAGTTAGTGAGTGGAGCCGGCAGGCGTAACGAGTGAAGTCCTAACATTTTTAAAATTAAAATTCCGATTTTTCGAAAAAAAATATGCAAACAATCAAAACTAGATACAAAATATCGTTCCTTTTTATATAAACATTTTAATAATTATTGACAAAAATTGTACATCATTAATTTATTATTTTAAATTTATTATACAAATTTTTGTTTTGATCGAAAAGTGAATCGGCCGAAAAAGGAAGGGTACGTTTTTGGTCGAAAACGGCCATGCCCCGTATATTGAATGCGAACGATTTCGTACCACGTACGAATAATAGCATAAATCTGGCAGTCAGCATATTTATCGGTAGTGTTGTATTTATACGGTGTGCAAACGCTAACTGAGAACCAAGCCCGGATTAAGGATCAATTGGTTCCCTGGGACAAAATACGCTTAGTGGGTTCCCTTTCAATTCTAACTTAAAAATAATTATATTACTACCAATCAAGGACTGTTTTATTATTTATTGTATAAGTTTATACTATATAAAAAAAAAAATATATATATATATGTAAGACAGATAAATTAATGTAATGATTTAGGTATTATACACAATATACTCATATATATAAAGAACGCTCTTTATAAGTTACTAAACGTATAAGTTAAATTTTTTCTTGCTTTATGTTTTGCAAATTGTTGTAAAGTTTCATTGATATCTATCAATTGTAGAATACCATATTTTGGTTGTATTATCATCAGTGATGTTAGATTTTATTGAGTCTGGCTTCTTCTATAATTATTTTTTATTCTTGTTCATTTTGAAAATTCTCTTTCAGCTGAACAATTGACAATTGGGATTGTTAAATATAATCTAAGAGCAATCAAAATATTTGGGAATACATTCAGCAATGATTTTTCATAAAACCGTTTTAATAAACTAAAATTATCACTTTCATCAAATGATGCCTTACTTAAATTTAAAAATGTTTGAAATTGAATAATTTCGTAAAAATAATTTCGTACAAAGTTCTCAGTGAGAACACACGTTACGTATTTCGTTACGTTAAACAGATCCATCGGAATGAATGGAATGTATTTAATAATTAATAAAAAATTCAATTCTTATTTCAATTATAAGTTTATTTAATTATTAATTAATTTAACGCTTAAATTGTTCAAATTGTTGTCCACCGTGAACTAAACATGATTCAGCATAAATTCTTTATTTTTCGCAGCTGTAATTTGTTCATCAGTCTGTTGATTGCATGCTGCTGTTATTTTCTCATTTCATTTTTAAATTCTAATTTTATAATTTTATTAATCAATAATTCAATAAATTTATAATTTAAATAAGAATTAAATTTGTTATTAATTATTCTGTTCATTCTAATAGATGCATTTAATGTAATGAAATAAATAACAAACTCATTCACAGTTTTTATCCTATAAGTTATAATTCTTGCACTAGTATAAGTGTAAATTAATAGTAGTTAAAATTATAATAACGTATAAATCTCACCTTAATAAATAGGGGTAAAAATGTCAAGTCTATTATTTTCAGAATTGCAGTAAAAATACTGAAAATCCCGCGCATCTTACCGTTGTTTTTTGAATTTACTGTAACTTGATCGATCTTAGACTTGGAAAGTTGGTTAAGCTACCAAAGTTCATTAAAAACTAGACGAAAAATAATTAGCGGTTAAAATAGTTGGTTGCCTTTTAAGAAAAAAAATTTGTAATGCGCCTGTCTAATTAAGTTGAAAAAATTTAAAGATTATAAAAATGTGTGTTTTTATGTAATACGAGTAAAAACCAAGTAAAAAAAAATAATTCAAATTTTTGGGCCTCTATCTACGCAGAGATGTTGAGTTTTCTTAGCGTTTGCGCACTGTATATTTATGTTTGAAACAAAAAGAATCTTATATATATATATGTATACATACTTGGTATGTTGCTTGTTACTAGCATGTGAATATAATAATATATTCATACGTATAATCTATGATCGAAGAATCTATCAATATTGTTATTTGTTTTTTTATACATCATAACGATTCAAAACGATCGTTCATCTACACACGATAATCTAAATTTAAATTAATTTTACTATTTCACAAACCATTTATAATACTATAAATCCGTTATGAACATTAACGCGTTGTATACACGTAGGTATATCTACACGTTTATTTTGATGATAAATAACTGTTAAAATTAATATATATGAACATATAACATATATAATACATGTATACGGTATTAATATTATTTCAAAATAAATCTAATCCGATTTTAATAATAATTGTTAATTTTTTAAACAGAAATTTATTAAATTACATGTGCGTAATATAAATCACGGCCAATTTATAGAATTGTAGGTCGCATCGAACACGTATTAGTTATGATAATAATAACAACAATAATAACAAGCAGTACAGGAACGAGACTTATGACTAGTTAATTGTTGTAACATATCTTGTATGATAATAATTTAAAGGGGCGTTGTTGTCACTATGTGACAATGTATTCGAGCATTCCTTAATTGCCAGTGAAATTAATAATTTTATGACGTGCTTGGTTTTTTTTTCAGACGAAGAATATTTTTTCACCGACCCCGAGAGTAAACTGTCCAAGTATTCGCCGAAAAGTTGGAAATCGTCTTCGACATATGTAAGTGTTTTTAAAACATATTGAAAATATTTCTCTGATTTTTCCCCGTTTCCTTGTATCATGTTCCCAATCTTGTAAAGGTAAAGATACGCACGCAAAGAAAAGCTGTCACTTGACATAAATGCTCAGTCTTATTTTGAAATGGAAAACATTTTTACAATAAAAACGATAAATACCTATAACGTACAATGATGATTGTCGGAAAGTAAAAAAAAAAACGAAAATCAATGTCAAATCACACGATTTATAATTATTGTGCAATGTTACTGATTGATCATGTAATTTTTAAATATGACCAGATACGGATACATAATTCAAGAGTGTCTATATGTAGCCGGTTAGCTGTAATAGTGAGAGGGCAATTTTATAAAAATAAAAAAGTAGAAAAAGTAGTGTTTTTTTAAATTTGTTATTTCTTCCAGACCGCCGGTTGTCTTATAGATGTATATGATTACTATAATTATAGAAATTACATATAATGATTATTTTAAGTAAACTATTATACTGGTGAGTGAGCAAATTTATTAGCAATTTTTTCGATTTATTCTGGTTGATATAAATACGCGCATACATATTAATTGGTGTTTAAGTTGTCAAAACGATATGCTGTTTTGATACGTACAACAAAAAATGCGTATTATGTATTTATGTTATACGTATCTGTAGGTATATATTTTTTCGTTCCGATCCAAGGTCACATTAGATTATCGCGTTCCTTCGAGCTAAATATTTAAGTAAGATTGCAAGAAAGTATTACGTAACTCCAAATGAAAACGGGTTTGATCCCTTATTTGTCTCCTCCGTTGGTTATTTATTTTTGTATAAGTAACGATTTGATTTCAAATAAACGTATAAGTATTTTATTTGTGTTTTTTTTTGTTGTTTTATTTCGCTTCAGGGTCTTGATCAAAACGGCCAACCTTTACTGCAATTGCATTTACGCGTCAAGTTCTACGTGGACACTACTAAATCTCTGCGGTAATTATAATGTATATATAATACATATATACATAAATTGTTTATTTAAATTTGTTCTTGATAGTTTTATATATATATATATATATATATATATATATATATATATTCGATAGCCTTATATAATATTATAAGGGGTTATATATTTTATTACACAAACTTCAATTGATTGAATAAATATGAAACGAGTCATGAAGTTATTAAGAATAAAAAAAAAAAGAAAAATAAACATTATTTAAATGCGTTTGCAGAATACATTACATACGTGTATTGTATCTTTGTGATGGCCGGTAAATGATGCGTTAAACAATTAATATTATAAAAAAAAACCTTCGGGACTCGCTATCACTGCGCGCGTACAATGATTTCTGAATACCGTACTGTCGTTGTTACGACGGGTGTGGATCGATCTAGAGACCAAATATACCGATGTACGATTGTACGTTTTCTTCGGTAGCCGAAATAGATAATTTCCGTGCGCGGCGTGTGCAGTGCTAATCTTAAACATTTAAACCGTCCGAACAAGCTGGGAAGAATTTATCCGCACGGGGGTTGTAACGAAATCGAATTCTGGTTTACGGGAATGTACACGTGATGTGACGTGCACGTAGAGGCGGAACTAGGGGTGGAAGACGGGTATTCATCCCCGGGCCTAAAATTTTAGAGGGTATAATTTTTGTAATTATTTACAACTAATTTGATGTTTTCAACTTCGTTAAACACTGCTACTAGGATCAAACTCAATAAGTATGATTGTATATTGATTGTTAGAAAAAAATTCTCGAGAAGGGTATTTGATTATTGGTTTATGACAGGGCGTAATTTTAACATTTTTCTCGGTCGCGAAAATCCTTAGTTCCACCTTTGCGCGCACGTGTACTTGTACGGCGAATACGTACGCCGAGTGCGGTGTTTCGACGAGAAACGAACGGTTGTAGTAAACCGACCGTGCAAAGAGGAAAATCGGTGAGAAAGTGAAACAAAAGTTCTTTTGCAGCGATGACATCACCCGGCAACACTATTACCTTCAACTGCGCAAGAACATCGCGGACAGGGGCGGGAGCACGGATGATGGCGATCAGAACGTACTGCCGCTGGTGGCGCTCGGCCTGCAGGCGGACCTTGGCGACCACACGGCCGATACGGACATATCGTCCGAGTTGCTCGAACAGTATCTGCCGTCAAAGGTAAGTCGACGAGTTTGGTTGCGCGTTGATGAACACACGCGTGCGTATGCCGTCCAACACGTGTTTAAGACCGACAGCCGTTGACCGTTTTTCATATCGTTGCACACGATGAGTATATGGAGTGCAGTGGTGAACTTAATTCACTAAAGAAGCACAATAGTTTACTACAAACAATAAAAAAAAAAATTTCCTCATTCATTTAAATTTCAATCTTTTTATTTTTATTTTTAACGATCTTCCGATATGTGCGTGGTTCCTTATTCAAAATTAATTTTGAAATCTCTGTTCACGGCTAAAAAACGTTGCACTTTAAACGTCTCCGGTACACTCGACACTGTCTTAAATCGAGGCAAATATATTAAATATAATTAAATATAATCCTCCGTCACACGATTGTTGCAACCAGCCATTGTTACTAATTGCCAACGTGTTAATTGTTGTTAGGTGTACAAGAACAACGAGCACAAGGTGAAACAGACGCTATGCGCACTGCACAAGGGCCACAAGGGCGTGTCAAAAAGTCGTGCGCAATCGATGTTCGTCCAGGAAGCCGGTTTGGTGCACAAGTCTCATCTGTACCGGTTGCGGTTAAACAAGTCTCAGCCGAAACAGACGCAGGGCAGCGCGATATCCATGTGCAACAGCGTGTGGTTGGCCATTTGCACTAACGGCGTACAGTTGTTTCACGTGAGTTTACGCCAGACAACCACCACGGTTGTCCGTACTTGTGGTCCCGGCGCTCGTGGTCCCTCTGGACGTATATATATATAAAAAAAAAAAAAACGATTTTTGCGTACCGGTCCCGCAAGACATTTGGTTGTCCGTTTATTAATTTTCCTAAACATTTCTACACGCGCAACGTTTACGCGAACAACGGTCGTCCGGACCGAGGATCGAGAATATAATAAATATATAACCGTTAGCGGACCGAAGACTACAAATAATCGTTCGTTTCGTTGCAATTCAACGGTGAAGTATACTGTGTGTTATATAGTGTAATATACTGCTAAAGTTAACCAGAGTGGAATTAAGTTAAGAATTAGTGACGACTTTTAAATTCAATCAATTTTTTTCCATTAACACGTGGTTACATTGGCTACGTAACCTGTGTATGGTTCACGGAATAAGATTAAAAAACGAAAAGATTAATAAAACGAGTAAATGCGAATCTTTGATACGCGACTCAATACTTTCTCGTCTCCAACTCAGCAATCACAATCAACCGGCGATAAAATTTTTTTTATTAAGATTTGTGTAATGTCTGAATCAGACATACATTATTAGTATAGTAATAATAATTTTATGCTGATAATTTCGTTAAAGTTCTATTTCCTTTCACATTACACTTGATGTACACCAAGATCATATATTTAGTCTTATACATAAATACAATAAACATTTTGAAATTTAATTGCACTTTAAAGACGAAGGGACTGGAAAAAAATTCGGTTGTCAAAGTTCTCTGATTAGGGAAACTTATATAAAATAAACTAACGTAAATTATGTGAAAACTTAATCATCGCAAAGCAATCCGGTAAATGTGCATCCTCCGTTATATCATTAATATTATTCATATACATTATTGAAAACAAGGAACGTTAACAACATTATCATTAAAACTATGATTGTTCTACAGGAAAGTTTGTCACAAGCGCTCAGTTGTTTGTTCTTATGGAATAACATTGTCAAGTTATGTTTCGACGTAAGTACATATATTTATCATTACAAGTGTGCATGTAAAACACTATTATTCTAATTATATAATCAATACATATCATAATACAAAATCATCTCAATTTTAAAATTTGTCATCAATATTTAAATAATTATATAAAGTTAATAAAATATATTATATGTGGTTAAGATACTTATTGTTAGTTGTTGTTAGTTTATTTATGGTTAGTTTGTTGTTGGTTTAGGATTTCGGATTTCAGAATCCGGAATCCAAATTTACAATAAAAATCCAGATTTGAAATTTCGAAAATCCGGATTGGCTGAAGTTTGAAATTCCGGATTTGAAAACATTGAATTAGTACTCTTTCAAGAATTATTTTTAGTAAATACAAAGTAATTAAACATTCTCAAAATTGATAATATTTTGACCTAACCTAATTAAAAATCTCATATACTAGTTTTTGTGTAATATTAAATGTATAAGTCGGATATTATAAAATACATTTTAGTTATTATTAGTTGTATTTCCAAAAATAATGGTACGTAAGACTTGAAGTGTTTATCGATTATTAAGATATCTTATTTAGACCACCATCATCTTGTCCGAGAGTTAAAATAATGACTAAAAAGTGGTACAATGAAAGTTATATGATTAGAATACAGAAATATATAATAATAAACCCAAATCTCGGATTTTTAAATCCGATATCTTGATTTGGCAGATTTTCGAAGAATCCGGATTTCATTCTCCATCACTTGTATATGTACACATTTTTACTCTGTACAACGTTCATGTTTTAACCGACGATGTTTTGTTGCAGCGTAAGAAATTCGAGTTAAGACCGTCGAATGCGGATCGACTGGTGTACTACACGAATTCGGACGAGAAAAGTAAGCGACTTTTAGCGCTGTGCAGAGACACGCATCAGTTTTGCATGACTGTGCACCCAAAGCTTTTGGATACGTTTTTGAACAACAACGCACCGGGTAAGTACACGCGATGCAATTAAATAGAAGTGGATGATGACTGCCGACGGTGGTGGTGGCACACGCTAATAATAATAATGATAATAATCGGTTTGATGTTAATTTTTTGTGCGTAGATAAGAATGCGTGTGATGGGCAGAAATGGACAAATGAGAAAAAATCAAAATCTATCAACGATAATGGCGCAGCGACCGACGGGAAGAAATACGAGAATGGCGGTTGTTCCGATACCGGAATTTCGACGACCGATCAAAAAACTACCGCTTTCAAGGAAAAGGTACATATTATTAAATACGTGTTGTATTTATAAATTTAGTTAAAGTATTTAAAACCATATACATATGTTAGCGAAATCGGTAGAAAAAAAATGTAATAATTTAAAATTAACAGCGAAGAAGGGATTTTTTTTAAAACATTATTCCTCACGCGTTCTCAGAAATTATGTGAAATAAATTCTACTTCCGAATCTTAAAATCTAAAACAGGGTTATTGAGTTTTGAAATCGAAATTTCGTGTTTCGTACGTTATTGTGTTTCAATTTTTATCCTAAATGTTGTAACGGTTTTGATATTTTGTTGATTTAAGATAAAATACTAGTCGGGACAAGATTTGAAATCGCACTAAAAATATAATTGGTGTATTACTTTAAATTAAAAAAAATGTGTAAGTAGTTATTTTGGCTTAATTATAAGTAATGCAATAAAGAATCCTAACACAAAGTTTGAATAATTATAGAATTCAGATTTAGAATAAAATTAGTGTTTCGGATACTGGAAATTTGGATTTTCCCTGGCCCTAGTTCAAAGGTTATAAACGTTATTATTTTTCTCGAGAACGAGAGAATGTTTAATACATTTTGCAGCAAGGGTGGTCAACCCAAATGATCTTGAAGGCCACTTTAGAAATACATTACGATCCCGCGGGCCACATATAAAATTATATTAGTATTTTGCGCCAATACAAAAATATTTGGAGCAAACATAGAATTAATTATTATTATGAAATAAGCTTTGTTGTATTATTTGCAATAAACAGAATGAATTATTATTGTTTTCATCAACGGATTCTGAATCCAATTCTTTTGAGAATATATAAACTAGCATAACATGGTTCATCGACAATATTTGGGAACAAAGATTTTGTTGATGAATCAAACAGTTTGTTGCGATTACGTTGTTAATAATACGGATTCCACGTTGTGCGAGCATCCCAAAATATTTTATTGGGACAAAAATATTTATTTTTTTTTATAAATGTTCGATAAATTTCGCGGGCCGTTAACTTTCCAATGTGGGCCGCATGCGGGTTGGCCATTTCTGTTTTACAGTTTAATGATATGTAACCGTCCTGTGTCGTACACGATTTCGTGACAAAAGTTTCAAAACGTTTAAAAACGACTTATTTACTTTATTAGGACTATTAATAATCACGTGACAATGATGTGTGTTATTAATAATAATAACTTATTATCATACTAACCGTAACGTTGTTTGATGTATAGATGACGGCGAACGGGAGCATATCGTCTAGCGTGGAGCTGGGATACAGTCACACCGCTCAGAATTCGACCGTGTCCGATGCGGAGTATTCGGTGCAATCGATACAGGACGGGAGCGTCACGTATCTCATATATAGGCGGCCGAGGGCCCGAGCGGCGTACGTGGAGAACAGCAACCAATCGGCGAACACCAGCAGCGGCGTGTACACGTGCGCCAGCTACAGTTCGGCGTCCAAGGACACAGCGTCTGCGTCGTACACTACCGAGAACTGCAGCAGCGTGGGCTGCGACGACAGCGGCAGCGGTTACAAGCCGGTCGCGGCGTCCGGCCGTCAATCGGTCGCGCTGTCGTCCACGGCACCGGCGGACACGGACTCGGCGTACAGCGCATCGCTACCGCCCGACACAGTGGCCGCATCGTCCACGTCGACGGACGACAACGATGGCAACGACCACGACGAGAATGCGGCGGCGGCCAACGGTCTGAAACAGGCGTCCGTGGCGGTCGACGACTGCGACGGCGGTGTCCGGGTCGGCCATCGCGGCGACGACGACGGCGGCACCGACGAGCTGTACGATCTGTCGGCCACGGCCACCAGCGACAGTTCGTATTGCGTCGGCGGTGGTGTCACGACCGCGACCACTACGTCCGACGTGGACCCGTCGTCGTCGTCCAAGTGCGGCGAAACCGGTTGCGGCAGTCGATGCGCGTTGGACGGCTACACAGATCCCAATGCCGTCGGTAGCAGCGCCAGTGGCCGCAGCCGAAGTGGCTCGGTGGTCAGCAACTCGGGCAGTTTCCGCGGCGACGGCAGCGACCCGTCCGAGGGCGGTCGCGGTGCTCTGCTGTCGGCCGCCGAGCTGTCCGACCTAATCGTCGGCCGCAAGTCGTTGCAAACACCTCGGAAGGGCTTCTACCCGTCCAGGCCGACCACCAGCTCGACGCTCGACTCGGACTCTGACTACGTGACGCTGCCACCGCCGATGAACTTCGTCACGGGCGCCCCGTCGCTGTCTAACCTGTCGCTGACCAACTTCGACTGTGGCACCGGCACCATGGGCAGTACCCCCAGGGACGTGCGCCGCTCGTTCGACCTGCTGTCCAACGTGATCAAATTCTGCAGTGGCCATCACCACCATCATCACCACCACCAGTGTGTGGTGAACAGCAACAACTATCTGGACGTGCACAAGAGTGGCACCGCTTTCTACCATCACATCTACCCGACGGCCGCTGCATCCGCTGTGCCGCCGCTCGTGCACGCCCGGCAACCTCCGCCACCGCCTCCGCCGCCGAGGCCGAAGCGATTCGATCTGCAGTTCGAGCAGTACAAACAGCAGCTACGGTCCGACGTGGATTTCGTCGTGTATCCACTCCAAGACCCCGCGGTCAGCCGCCAAGAGTACGTGGACGCTAAGCTAGCCCACGGTCGCCGACATCAGCAGCAGTACCACCGGTACTACGGCCGCGATCCGCCGTCGTACCAAGCCAACGCGCATCTGTACCGGAGCACGCCGAACGTGGCGGCCGCCGTATCGCCACCACCGCCCTCTTCGTCCGCGTCGTCGTCGTCATTGTCCCAGCACCACCATCAGCAGCACCAAAAGCATCAGCAGCAGCAGCAACAGTACCACCATCATCACCATCATCTCGACCAGCAGCAGACGCTTCCGCTGCCGCCACCGCCGCTACCGCCGTTGCCACCGCACTTGAAGTACGCGTCCAATCAGAACCTGCTGTTCCCGGCCACCGTGGCCGCGGCCGCCGATTACACGGCAGTGCATCACCACCGTCACCGACTAAACCCCTTTCCGCTGCCGGTGAGGACGTGTTCGCACGACGACCTGTTGGCCGCCACGTCCGCGGCGCCGGCCGTGCCGCCCAAAGTGTTGTACCGACGGCGACCGCCGCCGCCGCCGCCGCCCGTCACCGGACTGCAGAAACCCACGGCCGTCGTCAATCAACAAAGGCCGTCGGCCGTTGACGCGGCTACCGCGACGACCACGTCGTCCGGGCCTTCGCTCACCGTGTTGGACATCGAATCGCTGCGGGAAAAGAGCCGGAACCTCGACCTGCCGCTCATATCGGCATTGTGTAACGACCAGACGCTGCTCAAACAGACCAACGCGCTGGCCATGGAAAACAAAGCCACGCAAACGGTCACCTCGGCGGTCGGTGTCGCGTCGTCACTGTTCGGCACCGCCGCCGCGTCATCATACGGCGGCGCTGCCACCGCGTCTTCTTACGGTGCCGCCACCGCGTCGTCTTACGGCGGTGTCGCCACCGCGTCGTTATCGCATCAGCCACCGTCGCTGTCCGCGGAACAGCAGCAGTCCAACGGTTCCGCGGTAAAATCGAACTGCACCAGGTGCAACAACGGCACGTCCATGTTTTCGTCGCCACCGCCTCCGAGTTTCGTGTCTACCTCTGCTTCCTCGTCGTCCGCTGCAGCCGTTAACCCGGCCAAATCAAAACCCAATCACGTCAAAACCAACACGAACGTGAATTAGTAGTAGTAGTACTGGGGACAAATACGTTTTTTATTTTTATGTTAGTGTACGTGGGAACGGTGTCGGACTAAGAACGGTGTGCCGAAGTGATAGAGAGACCCTTAGAACGCGTCGTCCGGTGATTTACATAATTACCATATATCCGAACAGTGTACAATCGAAAACAATACGAACCGCATAACCATCGAAGTCCATTGCGCCGTCACTCGCTGCCCGGTACCGTTTACTAAATTCTCATCGTTTTCGTACCGGTCCGATGTTGATCCGATGATTTATAACCTTCGGCGAACGCAGCAGTGACACTCGCGAGACATCTGCACCTAGCATTTATACTACCCATCACTCCAAGGGCGACCCTTCTGTTACCGAAAAGAACGGCCATCTTGTTCTTGTACGAAGTAGGTGAATCGGGTCCCGGCAAAACCAAATTTATTTTATTAATAATATATCTACTAAAAAAAATGTAATTAAAAACATGCGTGTTGTAAAATATAAACTATGAAAATAAATTAAAAAAAAAAGATATAAAACAAATTAATTAATTATAAATTATACATTTGGCAAAAACTTAAATGATATGGATTAAACAAACCCAAATCCGATTATCATATTGTTAGCAGGTATAGTTTGTCATTTTTTCCCTTAGGTTATATTCTTTATCGAGCGTACTTTTATTTTTTGGTTTGTGCTTAGTGTGTTAGAAGAAAATTGAGATCAAATATTTGGAGAAAGTTTAGCATCAGTTGTGGTACAAGTATCTAGCGTATAATCGCAAAATATCCATAAAAAAAAAAAAACCATCATGAAAATCGGTGAAAACTGATGCACCGATATAATATGCCAAACATAATATACGTATCTTAATTAGGCGTGATCAAAGATTACATTGACGTTTTTTTTCGTTGAAAAGAATTCTGATTATTATCCGCGGGACCCAATTTACCTACCAACCATTTTAACCCGGGACTCAACTTACCGCTTTCAAAATGTACCCAACTTATCGCGGACCCAATTCATCTAGCCCCGATCGCGCAACGTCACCGGTAGGTCGAACGACATCAACGTGTGCACACACACCTACCCAGGACTTATCCGGTTCTTACTGGTTCTTACTCCCGACACCCTTCGCACCCGTAGCTTAGTGTTGTTACCTTAAAATATTTATTTATTCGTGCCAGACGTATATTCGTGTACGGTGCGCGCAACGCGCGGGTCGTGCCATCGTTTCCGGCGAACGCCGGAGAATGCTCTCGTCGCGCGCACCGCACGGATTACAAACCATTTCTAGGCATATTTATGTATTTTTGTAAAAAAAAAAAAAAACCATTTATGTTTACGTCCTACGTAAATGTTCGATCGGAACGAAAGCATAACGCATGGCGTGTTCCAGGTTACTCTGAACTATTGCCGTACCGGAAAACGGAACCACCATCGACGTTTGTTGTTCCACGTTGAATCATAAGACCGAGTGTTTAATCTTGTTTCGTAAAAGATCGTTTTTGGTAAACGTGTAATGCACTTGTTGCGCAACACAGCACTGATAGTATATGATAATATGGCATATTTGTACCATTACCTATTTATTTGTACGACCCTGAATTTTTTTATTATTTTTTTCACACCGCCATAATATAAGAAATATTTGTAATTTTAGTATTTAAGGTATTTGTGACAATTTTCAATCAACTATTTAGACTTAATGTAATGTGCCAAAAAAACAAAATTGGTCCACAATTGTATTGTTTAGTTAACAGAACAAACTAAATGATATTTTTATAGCCAGAATTGCCGTTTTTTTTTTTATTTATGGGACCTATAAGTTATAACCCCATTATTATTATTATAATACTTGAACGTATCCACATTTGTGCCTACTTGTGTTTATTAGTTACCCGAAAAGTGCCTCCATCATTCTTTACATTTTATGTTATTATTATTAAGAGGTATTAAAACGCTTGAGAACAATTATTATTTTCAAATTAAAGTTATGCAAACATCAGTACAAAATACGGCAGTATTATTATATTATACATACAATGTTTAGTCCTAAATGAAAAATGTATATTACTTAATTATTTTTGATATGAATAAATATTATCTATTGTAAAACAAGTCTTCTTATGTCTTTTAATTGCAACACACGAATATCAAGAACATTACTTTGAATATATGAAAATAAAATCAAAAAAATCGTAGATTTTATTTTCATGCAACACTAGGCGAAAACAATTATTTTATTTTCTACTGATATATATTTATATAATAATCAAGTCAGAGAGTATCAAATTGAGTGTAAAAATGAACAAATATTATCCTTGAGTACAATGAGTGTGTATTATAATTAAAATAACACATGTTTATAAGGTACAATAAATAATTTGAAACGTTTTTTTCATATATACAAAAAGTATAAAATGTTTCCAAATTATAAATATATAATGAAATATTGTAGGGATAAAAAAAAAAAAGTAATAATAATAAAATGATAATTCAGATACATTATGCTAATGTTCCCATGGGGTCCCAAATGGGTAGTACTTGAGGTTCTTGTTGGAAAACAGCCAATACCTCTTCCGAGAGCAAACTCCTATCCACAACCACTTCAAATACGTATTCCTTAAACCATTCGGTGGTCATCATCAAGTAACCTTTGTCACCACGATCTTCACCCCAGGAATTTTCAACACGCCATTTATTTGGAGCACCATTCTAAATAATATTATAAAATTAATTAGTATGAACTATCGTTTTAGGATAAATTTCCACATTATATTATATGCAAAACTCACATCTACATTAACTCCAGTTAGAACCATTGCGTGTGTCATAGCCGATTCACCGTACAACATGCGTTGTGCTTTAGTCATAGGGATTGATATCTCAGTACCAAATACAAGCTGGTAATCATGACTGAAATAGTAAAACATTAATTTTTTTTACTTAACCAAATATTTAAAAAAATTATTTTAAAATTCATACATTTTTAAATCTTCTAATCCAAGTTTATCAGAAAATCTTTTGCTGACTTGACAACCATACCATACTGGTTCACCACGATTTACAATAGATTCCTGAGCTGCTTTTATCAATACTTCAATGGGTTGATTGTTATAAAGAACTTTGCGGGCACCAGCCATGTTATTTAACATGTCCAACGTATACAATTTACCATACTGGTTATCTGGCCTTGGATCCGAAACTAAACACACCTAAAAATAAAAATAATTAAGTATGGTCACAAATATAATAAATTCAATAAACGAGCATACTTTTTCAGCAACATCAAACAATGGTTTAACATGTTTTTCATAGAAATCTAATGGCGTAATTGGTCCAATAGTGTTAAAAACTTTGGATTTGTCGTAGTAATTCCATTCAAATGTAGCTGGTGGTATACCCAAACAAATACCTATGATTCGGTATATAATTTCCATTTGTTCTTCAATTTTCGTTTTAATCTCATTGTCTGTAGCATTATCACTCACAAGTTTGTGTAAAATTATAGCAAATTCTCGAAGCTAAAAATGTTAAATTGATTATTTTATTCAAAAAAAGTTATGATAAATTATTACCTTGCTGTTAAGTATAACATTCAGAGTATTACTAGTTTCACAACTGAATGATTCCGGGAAGTTCTTTTTTGGCATCAAACCATACTTGGTGATAATATTGACCAACATATCCCACTGACCTCCATCTTCAACAGGTTTCTTAATTCAACAAAAACAATAAGAAGTTGTAAAGTTTTTCGTTTTATAAATAATTTTTACATAAGCAAATATCAATAAACTTACAGAAAGTAAACAAGCAGTAGTTCTATCATCAACTGTTTCGCCTCGCTTGGCTGTCTGTACAATTGCATTTAAAAAATAATTGCTCCTTTCAATCTAAAAATAATAATAAAGTATCATATAAAAAGTTTCTTAAAAAGCAAAATATATATTTTTAATAAAAAAGTAAACAACATAATTTAGTAATAAATATTACTTGGAACGCGATTTTAACTGGTTTTTTTATAGCTAATAAATTATATGCAATTATTTTAATAGCAGCAGTGGCACACGCAGGAGGATTAAGGGGTTGTATCCCCCCCCCCGAAATTTTCTCCAATGTCTAGGTTAAAATTTACAAATTTTACAAGTTTGAAATATGAAGAGGTAGTATTGAATACCTAGTATCATTGATTATAGAATAGTCTATTCTATTATCAATGCTATTATTTAAGCCAAAATATATTAAGGATTTGCATAATTTTGTTAATTGTAAAATGTGTTATATTTTTACATTGACCCCCGAAAAAAAATCCTGTGTGCGCCACTGAACAGCAGTACCTTTTGATTAACAGAGCTTTTAATTTTTTAAAGAAATAAATAAATACATAAAATTATTTACTTTTATAATTTTAAAAAATACTGATGAACTTGACAGTTATTTGAATCTACAGAGAAATGTTAGAATTGTTTTGTTTCTTCAAAAATATTTTAATACTTGATCATATTATTGATTACATATAACTATAGTACTACTATATATATCATATGAGTTTCTATCTATATAATTAAAGGAATGTCTTGGTTTAGTAAGGATATATTTTTTTGTTCCCATTTTTTTTATTTATATTATTTCAGTTGTACATAACTACATATAAAATGTACAGTATGTATATTTTTTATAAATAAAAAAAATTTAATTATTTAATTAATTAAAAATGAAAGATAATTTCAGTTTCTACCGTACAAGTTTCTATAATGTTAAAAAAATATTAGTAGTTCTTAAGAATCAATTACCTATATTGAATTATTATGTCACTGCCCCAGATAAAAGAAAAGCAACTAAAATTAATTTATAAAAATATAATGACTAACAGAACATGATTAATTCACCACTGAAGTACTTTTATTTGATTATTGATAAGATAAATTATATTTAATTTTTTTTATCACTTAGTTTAAGAATTTTCAAAACATTATTACTGAAATATATAAGAAACTAATATATATCAAAATATTTAGTGGTATGTACTATATATTGGACTTATACAACATGTATACTCTCAAATAAAGCATCATGACAACTACCATGAAAAATTGTTTGAAATATCTGAACATTCAATGTATTCTATGGTAAGAACCTTTTTCATTGTGATTGGGATGCATCTTGTATCCCTAACAAAACCAGTTCTATTGACAACAAAATACAAATCAAATGAAGTGCAGGTGTGTAAAAGGGACCACCTATTGTTAACATGATCCTTGAACGAGGCCAAGGTCATACAAATACTTATTTTTCCCCATAATGAATACCATGAATTTTTGTTAACATTTTCACATAAACTATACCTTATCCCAAAAAAATACATGTGCTTGACTAAATTCAAATTCTTCCAAATTGAAGTGTTTAATGAATGGAACTCTGATCACGTTTAAACATGCAAATATCCAACAGCGACCTGAACTTCTTTGGTTAGTTACTGGTTTACCTTCACATTCAATCTAGACAAAATAATAAAAGATAAAAAAAAAAAGGTAATAGGGTTTTAAAATAAAAATTAATCAGCCAAACCTTGTTTGTATAATAATGATGGCATTCTTGAACTCTATTTCTTGATGTGCTTACTTCTGTTGGACTTACACGAGAACAGGCATTTTGAGCAAGCACGTTTTTAGCATCATTATAGAATGCCTCACGGAATTTTAATAAATTGTTTACATTGATGGTGGCTAAAATACAAAATATAGAAATCAAAATTATAAATTATAAAAATGCATAATGTTTTTAACATTATTCACAAGAATAAAAATTTTAGACTAAAATAAAAATAGTAACAATAATAACAAATAAAAAAAAAGTCACATAATATTCTATAAATAGCATATGGAAGCTATCAATTGTTATTAGTATAATTATGTATGATGTATAATACTTTTATTTCACCAGGTTATTAATTATTCATAGGATAATTTTTTTTTTATTAATAAAATATAGTTAAAATAACATTATCAGTATAGCTATATTCTATAACAGCAAATAAGCTATTAAAGAACAAAACAAACAAATTATAAAGAATTTCAAAACAAAATTCACTGAGAAGACAATATATGTATAGTATTCAACCTTGAACTCTTGAAAATATAACAAAACCGAATTTATGCGCAGCTAATGCAACAACTTATCAAAAGGATTGTATTTTTTGAAACTACCTACAAAGACGATGAACATTGTTATCTAGTGCATGTTTCATATAGGTTCACTGTATCCTATTGGACACAGTAACGGTAAATTAGTTTTATTATAAAGTTTTTATCTATAGAAATATTGCATACCACAATTGAAGAAGCAATTTATATTTGCTTATATTTTATGTACAATACATGTATAATAATGAATCTACAAGGGACTATAACAATATTTAAGATATTTATCTAATAAATATTAAAACTAAATTTTAAATTTAAATAATACATTTATATTTTCATATTTATAGTGTATATTTATCAAATTGCTCTACCAAATAAATAATATTTTTAAGTAACTAATTAATTTCTTAAAATTAATAACATTTGTTTTACATAAAATAAAATTAAAAATATTCTTTTTATAGGTGTCAAAGGTAATACCTTGTATTAATAGAATTGGCATTAATTTTACTTATACTTATGATTAAGTTAAGGTTATTTTATGACACAATATAATAATGTTATTATTACAAATGTTAATGAGTCTTCTTAATTTTAAATGTATTTAAAAATAAATCTTAAACATTGAAGGTATAATTATATTTGTGTTTTAATAAAGTTGAATCAGTAAAATTAACCACAAGTGCATAATATTTGTATAGAATATCAGAAGAAAATCATATTATTGTTTGTAGAATATTTTAAAACGCTCTATTTAGAATTACAAAAATACATATAATGCCATTGATTAGAATTCAGTCATACATTTTTAACTAATTAAAAATAAATATAATTAATTTTATTACATGTACAAATTGTTTATTTTAGCAATGGTAACAGGAACCGAGTTCAAAATAATCTATCTGAGCCACTGACTTTAGTATTTTACTAGATAAAGAAATATAATTAATACAAAAATTGGGTAGTTTTTAATTTTAGAATTAACAAAAAGTCTATAGATCACAATAATAATACTTTAATTTTATTTTATATATAATCCAGTATAATAAGTAATATAGATCAGCTTTTAATAAAAGTTATTGACCTTTGATAGTAGTTGGTGTTATCTTTGGTTTATAAAAATATTAAATAAATATATCAAGCTCTAATAGTTTTTACAAATAGCAAAAAATAAATATATATACATACAAACGTTCAAGATAAAAGGATACAATTTAATTTGTAAACACTAGAATAATATTTAAATAATAAAGAAATTCAATAACTAGAAAAGATCATAAATAAATAACATTACATTTTTTTTACTTTCTATTATTGTTGATAAAAACAAGAGAATGTGTAAACACATTAATAAAACAAAATTATACATTGTAAAAAATGAACATGTTATAAGAAATATTAGTCATAGAATAATATTTTTTAAGAAACAAAAACAAATGGACATGGTTTGTTTACTCAGACTGCCTGCCTACAATACTGTTATCAGCCCATTCAAAACGTCTAGTGGTTTTTTTTCGCTGACGATTTATAACTTCACATTTTACGTTATTTAGGCTATAACGATAAAGAAAAAAAAATGGTGATGGGTGAATCGTCGATTAGAATATTTATACTCGCATTTACATTAAAAATAATATGGGGTATATCATGGTTCAGTCGGTACCGAACCGAATATTTTTTCAGTACATCTGGTAAGCACGATAACGCTGTAGCAGTGACAGATTTGATAGACGAGTACAATCGAAAAATAAAAAAGGAATGTCGAGAACAGCTTTCCACAGTGATTTCACCAATGAAGAGCGTTAAGTGTTTTCAGCTGCGATCAACATTCGTGCAGGACTGACACAGTTATGCGAGGTTCGAACGACCCTATCTCTACGGACACGATGTACAAACGAGCAGAGGAGCTAGGTGAGGACGAGTCGCGAGGGTTACACGGCGACGGAAAAGAACACGACGTGCCCGGTTCGCACGGCAACGGTGCGATACCGCACGCGGAGTCCCGTCGGAACGCGTATACCCTTCGGGGACGAGGACGACGACACCGGCTTACGTAAATACGTTAGATACTTACAAGTGAATGTTTTCGCCATGTTTCGGTAGAAGCGGATGAAAACTTGCGTCGGATGACTGGTGAAAAATGGAAGAATAGCTCCGGCACTGTGGATTGGCAGTACAACAGTTGCGGCGGTAGTTGCGGCGGTAGTTGCGGCGATAATGAACGGTGCATCGGGAACAGTCGACGATGACTGCGCAGAGGAATATCGCCAAACGCGCGGGTGCGCGTGCGCGAAATGAACAGAGAGAGAGTGAGAGAGAAGGTTGTAAGTGTGAGCGAGAGGATGACGATAGGTGCGCGCGTTAAATGGAGAAATGGTGGAAAACGGTTACCGGGTGAGGAACGAAAGAAGAACGCGGGGAGAGAAAAAAAAACAATCAAAAACAAAACGGGAACACTGTGGAGGAGCTCTGCCGCACGTTGTGCGTGCGCGTGCGTTCGGGAAAGCGGTGGGGACGTCGCCGGCCGTACGATCGGAATGCTACTCGCGGTGCTATGTCATCGCCGCTGCCGCCGTACGCGCTGTGTGGAGGCCACGGGCGTGGCGTTTACCGTTCGTACGACCTCGTGGAGGCGAAAACGTGTCGGTTTTTCTGGTTTTGGATTTTTTTTTTCCTTTCTCATCTGCCTCCGCGCGCGCGCTCGCACATCACTTTTGCACCTCCCGTTGATTATTTTCGAATACAAAGCGCGCACCGTTAATCGGTTTCGTTTTGGTCGTGATCGTCGGCGAAACGCGAATTATTTATCGCGAAACGCGCGTCTTCGGGCAATACCGTTGGCACGGGCGTATTTTAGGGGGG